TGTTATGGCTGATCAGTGTAGATCCAACTCCTACATCTGTGAGTTATATATGAGGCTACAGCCAGCAGTCAGTTAGCTGAAAATTCTACTGATTGAACAACTGTCTGTCAGGCCAAAGTACACACATAATGAAACAAAGAAGCTGTCAGCTGATGAGTTGGTCAGCTTTATTCAGCCAATAATATTCCTGACTAGTTGTTGTTGCTTTAATGAGGACATAGGGTAAATACAAACACATTCATTTTACTAAATAAAGGACAAAAAAGTATGAAGGATTTTTTGCGGGGTCACTGCTTACCGCTTTGCAGCTGATCGGCTTGCCATTCATGTCAGTAGAGGGTGGAGCCAAGGGTTCCCAGTCTCTTCCTTTGTTGTAGGTGATGACGGTTGTCACTTTCCCATCACTCTTCTGATTGGCCAGGAAGACTCCTTTGATACCACGTACCTAGGAAACAGACCAAGTAAGGTTTCAGCTGTAAAACCCCTATATGTACTGAAATGAACAAGGGTGAATGCATTATTTATTCACTAAAAAGTTCCATTGTCTCAGTTTAATGTAGTAACTGGATCTTCAAATTGTAATTTTCCTAACATAGACACTGAATATGGACTGAGGGGGGAATGTTGGGAATTTATGTCTGGGTAGAATTCTTAGATTTAGAATATTAACCAGAATATAAGTGTCAGCAGTGGTTGAGACCAATGTGTGTTACTTTAAAGGCAGTAAGGAAACCACTGACACAGAAACTACAGGGCTGTAAAAGTTTAATTCACTGAAATCAATACATAGTGCATGGTTTTTGCGGCTGTGAGGTTGATAGCTACAGGCTCTTTAGTTTAAAAATGAAACAGCAAGACGATGGTGAAGACATTTAAACAGAGCCAGGCAGAAAGTCAGACATGTCTCCATCCGCAGACTCCCCCAGCTCCCTTTGCTATCTTTTATGTAGCACTAATGTTTATGGAGTGAAACAAGGTAATTGTTTAAATCAGAGTACATAAGCCTGCTTGTATCCTCTCTGGACTGCTGGCTTCTCTACTTTCTGTCTGCACCTCTTCATCTCTCCACATCTAGCACTTCATCTCCTCATTTTTTGCTCCTGCTGCCTCAAGTCTTTATCCATCCGCTGTATGTTATTTTCCTCTCTATCTCTATCTACAGCATGTGATGAGAGTACAGCCTGGAGCGAGGGATGAGAGAGGAGGAGGAAATGAGTTCTGTATTGAGGGCCCTTGCCTCCACGGTCAGCAGCCTCCTTTCTTTAGTCCTACAATTCCTCTATCCTTCTCCCTCATCTACATTTCATGTCGTCCACACACATTGATCTACAGTAGACACTGTAGTAGAAATGTTATAAAGTCAGCCAATGACAACGTTTTCAGGTAATATTATCTTAATTAATCTAGCCACAGCTGATAGAATCTGCTAGCAACAGTTGTCGTCTCAGCCGTCTAAATCAATGATTGCAGGCTTGAAATGAGAAGTCTGCTTTTATATACCCCTGTCTGAAATAAAGGACCCATTGTTTTAAACATTACTGAGAATTCTGAGTGGTCAACCTGCCTCTGTTATCATAGTAAACTGGGGGATGATTATTATTATGATATTAGATTAGCAAATTGTCAAATGCCTGAGTTGTTTTTGTGGACATGAGTTGGGATAGGTTGTAAGTAGTGGTCTCTTTACAAACTTAAGTTGTCAGTGTATAATTTTCGTCTATCTGAAACACAAGAGCTTACTATACTGTCAGTATCCGCAAGGGTTTCAGGTGGCGGCAGCCTAAAGTATACTTTTGGGTCTTGTTCATGAATGACACGATGAGTGTAAGGATGGTGAGATGAATGTCCTTCAGTGGCTGGGTATACCCTTGTAAACAAGATAAGGAGTATGATATTATATCTGGAAGGAGAGTAGAATCCCTGCTCCACTGCACTGAAAGGAGCCAGTTGAGATTGTTCAGGCATCTGATTAGGATAGCTTCCAGATGCTCCCTAGTGGAGGTATTCCTGGCATACCCAACTGGGAGGAGAGTGAGGGATTACATATGCCATTTATCCTGGTCAAGTCTCTGCTGCCACCATGACCCGTGCCCTAATGATCACTGGAAGTTGATTACGATGATACATTATACACTTCCTGCACAGTGCAGGAATTTTCTGGAAATGGGAGAAACAACTCCCTTTCATTTGTCATGTCTTGTTGTCACTCACTCAAAACCCCTTTATAAAAAACCCACTGTTTTTGCTGAAGTGCAACTACTTTCGTAGCAATGATAGCACAGTCTTCTGAAAGACAGCTACCTCTTTTTGGTGTGACAAACACAGAGCCAGCAGAAATGTATGCCAAGGTTAGAATTTAACAAACTAGTGACGTTGTCCTTTATTACCAGGAACACACACATTGTTGTTTATTTTGACTCAAGGCCACAGACAGCATCCTACTGCTGGAAATACTTACCGGAGCGTGTACTAATCATCAACTGAAAATAGTCCCCAACAAATGCACCATTTCCTCCTGTCTGAGTAACATTTGTTAAAAACTACAGTGCCCAGTTATTTTAGGAAATCACTGAGCCTTTTAAAAATCTATATTTGTGACAGATGTCTAAAGGTCCAGTGTGAAACATTTAGGAGGTTCTACTGGCAGAAACAGAATACAATATTCATCAGTATATTAGTGTATGATCACCTGAAAATAAGAATGGTGTTTTTGTTACCTTGTTAAAATGAGCTGTTTTTGGTTAAGTCAGTGGGTTTCATTTGGATGCAATTTGCAGTCTACTGCTAAATGCCATCACATCCTACACACTGGTCTTTACAATGATTGGCTGCTCTGGACTCAGAGAAAATACAATCCCCAGACGAGACCAAGCTTACATTTAGAGCCCGTTTGTATTTGGTATATTCACAGGGCAAACCAATTACATCGAACATTCATGCATTGTAAAACTGAAGTTTGTTTGCAAAATGCTCTATGGGGTCTTTGTCCGTGGTCATAAACAATGTCCCCGTTCCTCACCCCATCTCACCTCAAGTATGTCGATGAGGACATTCTCCTCTGGCTGCTTGGTGCTGCGAACATTTTCCAGGATGATGGAGTAGTAGACGCCCTGGGGGTCCGACTGGTACAGGTTATATGTGTCTGACTGGTACCACTCCTGGAGGGCGAGGAAGACCTGATTCTCGTTCGTACTCACTATCTGAACATCCTGGGGGCAGAGATAGAGGGAGGAGAGAGAAAGAGAAGTGGGGTCAAAAAGGAAAAGACAGTATATTCTGAATCAGTGAAGTTAGGAATGAAAGAAGAGAGAAGAGAAAACTAATGAAATTGAAGAAACAGAAAGAAAAATATTTTATATATATGAGACAACAAAGAAGAAAGCTCACAGAATTCAGAGATATCATTAAAGATAAAAAATATGACAGGTAAAATAAAAGCAGCATATGATGACAGGTGGAAAGAAGAAAGAGGAAAAGGGAAAATGAAAGAGGAAAAAGTGAGGAGAGAACACATAAAGCAGTAAAAGCAGCAACTTATGATTCACAGAAAAGTTTGACAGTAACTCACAGCAAGCCAGAGGACATAATCCAACAAATAGAGTCACAGAAACAAACTGGGAGAGATACGGGAACAGTTTACCCATCGAAAAATGTTTTTGGCAGCTTAGAAAACTTGTTAGGTGTTCTTGTCAAAGCTTGTGAGCTTCCGATGCAAATGGCTTCATCACTCATGAAAGACTGTAACGATGGCACAAAGAGCGACTCAGCACTTTCTCTCTGTTAGTGATTACATTAACATAACATTTGAAGATAAAGCCATCAGAGCGCAGGGGAAAGTGCCCAAGAAGGTGTGTCTCTAATCATTGACACTTTGCCATCTTGCTCAGAAAAAACACTAGAACTCAATTACCCTTGGATTTATGGTTGTGGCTCAGAGTAATAACAGTATTGAAAGTTGTGCACTGATCTTCATATTCATAGATGTGCTGTTCCTGAGTCAGCCAGCAAGCTATGTGCATGTTGCCAGGAACACAAGTATGCCACAAATAAAACAAAGCTGTACATATTGTTCAAAAGATACAACTAAGACATGAACTAGAGTCACTGGTTGATTTCCCAGCCCAATATCACTATCATCAACCTTACTAACCTACTACATTATTGGATGTCCAAGTAAATGGGAGCAGCAAGATGTACTGGGTCTCCAACCTGACTGCTCAAGTTGTCAATGGAAACTGTTTGGAATAGGGCAGGCACTTAATACATGGCAGTTGATTGAACCACCACGAGCGAACTACAGCTTTGAATATCAATGAACCCTATACTGTAATGTAGTCAAAGTCTTATTCAAGCTACTTGGGAGAAGAGTAAAAGTATCTTTTCTATAGAGGAAAGCCTTCAGTGCCATTCCTTGCTCTTCTTTAAAACATGCCCGCAGCTGCAGGTAGTTCCTCATAGGACACTGCGACCAATCAGTTTGGGTACAAGTGCATCGATCTGGCAAGATGGATTTTGTGATATTGCTAGTCCAGCTGCCTCGCAAGGTTTTGAGCTCAGCCCTGTTGTTTCTCTCACCTTGAAGCCAGACAGTTGAACCAAAAGCATGCAAACACTATTTTCCTGGTGAAAATGTTCATACCTTCATGTATCCGTCTATGTACAGCTACAAAACAAATATGACCTACTTCTTCTTGTTGTGTTCTTCCTGATGAACTTCATCTTGCGTTCCTTTATCCATTCTCTCTTCTCTGATCTTTAAATTCATGAACAGTTTCTCAGTCACTTTTAAAGCATTGTGTAACCACTCTTACAGTATCTCTTAGGCAACAAAGGAGTGTAACTGCGTTCAAATAACAACAAATCAGAGCAATGACAACCAGTCAGTCAGCCAAACCTTGAACTAATGTGTCAGTCAACCAATCAACCAATCCTTTAAACAATACTATAATATCATGAAATAGATTCATTTGTTATGCTAACTGTAACAGGCTGAACAATTGATATTTTTGTACAACATAATACCATGCAATACTGACTGTGAATGAGGAAATAAATGTGCAAGTGCCATCATGACAGCATCGTTTGAGTTCAAACACAAATATTCCACCTCATTTACTTTTCCTTGCATCTCCCCCTTCATCTACCTTTCCCTCCTCCCTTGCTCTATCCCCTTAAAGCCCTGCGCAGTTGCCTGGGTTTAGGGCTGACAGCTCGGCTCAGGCAGCAGTTTGGAGCTTGAGGAGGAGTTGGCACTGAGAAGTGTGCAAACTTCAACTTCTGCTGCCTTTTAACATTCAGAGTCAGCCCTCCACCCACCACAGTAGCTAAAACATAATCCTATGCTACAGAAGATGTGTCGAGGTAAGGACGTAAATACATACAGACAACACTGACTGAACACGTGTAAACCTAGCACATTTTAATATTATACATGCTGTATTTTCACAGTTTTTACATCTGATTTGATCAGCTGAGTCGAGACCAAGGGATAGACCAGAGTCCATGAAATAAATGTATTTATTGTGGCATGGGGCAAAAACTTTTACTAAATTTACTAAAATTATATCTACATGTACTTTGGTGTACAGTAAGGTCAACCATATATAAAATATTCTTGCAAATACACTTTTACATATACAATACATATTTTGTCTGAGCTTAATATTTGTTGTCAGTGGTCAAGCAGGCTGACCAGTGTGTCCAAAATATAGGACTGTAACTAAACCATCCCTTGTTACTATGGTGATTAACTATGGATATGTACATTAGCCTTAGTTCAGCTAGTCTGAGCTGGACACATGGGAGATGAAAAAAACAACAGCATTTGGTGTTTGTCCAAATGTCTGTTAGGAACATGAGAACAGGCTGGGTGAATGGATGGGTAAACAATTGTATGACTTGAGAATGCTATTCATTTCCCGTTTCTTACCAATTAGTTTTGTGGCTAAACCTTTCCTAATCTTAACTGCATCAAAAATCCTTTAATAATCCTTTTTCATAAAACCAGTTTATCTGATTTGATTTGATTTGATACTACTCAGGGTTAAATTCAGTAATTATCTCTCCATATTGAATTTTTATTGTTAGAAGAGTCCACTATTCACTGACTGGATGAAGAGTGCCCACCAAAGCATGAGAGATTTACAAGAAAACAATGTAACCAGCACAATCTTATCTCACTGATAATAGCCCCTTTATTGTTCACTCTCCTACAGCTGAATCAAAGGTGTAGAAGTTACTGTTAATGTGAAAACAACATTCTGTATAGCTGTTAATTCACATTAAAAGCATTCAACTGGTGAAACATGTGGTGGCTTTTATTTTGAAGCAGCCACAGGAAAAACAATGTATTTATCACTGCGATTAGCGCTTATTTTAATGCTAATTTGTGATGGTTTTGGAAGGCATTAACAAACAACGTTGTCTCACCAGTAGGGACTTCATATGTATGTCTTCAGTGTATTTTGTTATTAAGTTTAGTTTAATGGAGGACTTTATACTGTTGTTGCTTAACATTTACCTGATACTCAGTACTTTAAAATCTTAGAACTGAATGGGAAGATTTTAGAAGGAAGATTTGGTATAGAAAATTTAAGGACTGGCCTTTTCATGTGCAAATACACCCCCAAAAACACAGATGAGACGGTAATTCTGCATCTACTCAAACAGCTTTACATGACTATTCTATATGTCATAGCTTACAAGAGCTACGTCTTTGAATCATCTTCATCTTTTCTCATCCCAACTAAATCCATCCAGTTAAGTTAATTTTTTCAAAAATGGGCTGAGTGTGTAGAAAAGCTTCTTTCAGCTGCCATTTATTGTAATCCTGTTCAGTATTGGATTCACATATTTCAAACAGAATAGAAGAATGTTCAAACATGTTGCATGGGTGCTGTGTTTGATCTGTACATTTAAGGTGCAAGCTACAGGCTTAGGAGCAAGCTCTTCACAGTTAAAGACAAAGGCAGACAGATGGGACTTGCCACTGTTGTGGGGGGCATAAATACGACTAAGGCTGTTTGTCAAACTGGTGCTGTAAAGAATCTTCAAAGGGAGTATTCGTTTACTTTCAGCAATGTTTGGAAGCTACAGAAATGTTCTGAAAGACTAAAATCAATATTGAATTTTAGAAACTTTCAACAAATGTGTTCTACAAGAAACTCCATTCTACCAGCACTTGTAAAGGGTGTAAGTGTGCAGATGGTATGAGTTAAAAAAAGGAAAAAGAAGCACAAGGATTGGAATAGTTTATAGTCCAACGGTTGAAAATGTGGCACCATTATCAAACAGTCCACTTTGTCTTGAACTGGATCCCAGTGCACCTTTAACTGGTTAACAAACTGGTGCCAGAAGCATACATACAGAGCCAAAATGTAGAAGAATGCCAACAAAGAAAGACTGCTAGGCAAAACTTGCTGCAAAATGTAGTCTAGACTCCTATATTGTCTGGTCCATTGCTGGAGTCAACAGCATTTGAGCTGGGCTTTTACATTTCAGTATAGGTAAAGGAGCTAAATGTAGCAGGATAAGGGGAATAGGAAGACAAAAGGTCATAGGAAATCTCCACATCTGGCATGCCAAGCTGTGTGTTTGAAAATGCCACCAGTTTGCATTCAAGTGCACTGTCCTTTAACCTCCAGCTGAAATCCTGACTTGAAATTGCAGGATATCTCTACCAGTGTCCCTCTTATTGGTGCTGCATCACTGAGTACCCTCTGAAACAAATACCCTCCATCCATCTCTGTCAGGGCCAGCAGGGCCACAGTCACCCCAGAGACAAGGGCCACTGTTGGGAGTGAAATATCAGAGATCCCGGGTCCTAGAAGCTGCACGAGCCACTGCAAGCAATAACAACCTACACTCAGCTATTTCAAACTTCCCTTGACCCAAACTCAGCATGGTGTTAACACTAGAAAGGCAAAGACAGAAAGACATAATGTGATGGTGAAGGCTAAAGCTAAATGTACACTTGAATGGAAACTGCCTGGGTGCAGGGACACTCACATGCACATCCTCAAAAATGTAAGTACCTCATGTAGGGCAAAAACAAACCACAAAAATGAGTGAAAATAAGCAGTGTGATTAGTCAACTGTGAAGTACAAACACTAGCAAAAACACACACTGTAGTATGGAAGCCAGAGAGAATGAAACAAGACACTGGAGCTGCTACAGCAGAGCGGAGGGTGAGGGTCAACCAAAGGAAGC